CACAAGCAACGATGATCGAACACCTGAAGACATTCGAGATCTTCGACTCGAAGAGCATTTTTGGAAGAGTTCATGATTGTGTGTGTGGGCTGAGATACTGCCAGGTCGCCCAGGCCTAGACATTGCTACAAGTTATCCTTAGTAATATTAACACATTGCTACAAGTTATCCTTAGTAATATTAAACATAAGATTAAGGAGTAGGACCAATACAGGATTATCAATTTGATCATTCCCATATTGCTACAAGTTATCCTTAGTAATATTAAACATAAGATTAAGGAGTAGGACCAATACAGGATTATCAATTTGATCATTCCCATATTGCTACAAGCTATCCTTAGTAATATTAACACATTGCTACAAGTTATCCTTAGTAATATTAACACATTGCTACAAGTTATCCTTAGTAATATTAACACATTGCTACAAGTTATCCTTAGTAATATTAAACATACGATTAAGGATGAGCGGTTGGTATAACAAAATGGATTTAGACTTGGTCTGGACACGTGAGAGAGAGAGAGCGTACTTGACCTTAGGGTGTTAGGTTAAAGAGCATACAGAAGTGGAAAAAAATCTTTATGTACTTTGTAGACTCTGAAAAACTCAACACAAAGTTAACAAAGATTCTACACACTCAAGAACTTATGTTGGAGTTAAGATTCAAACTGACAAAGAACTAAGCAGTTAGATTGCAGTGTGTTTCAGGTATACAGTTTAAGAAATGTATTACAGTTGTATATATTTGATGCTGTGTACTGTAGGATAAATTATACCAAGGCTACACTTAAAATACAATATCATAGGAGACTTACAATCATTTCAGTTCTGCTAACTTTGTGTAAGGATATCATACAATGACAAAAATGAAAAATTAACACAACTTCAAAAATACAGATGCACAAATAAAAAGTATTATAAGACTACTCTGTATTAAAAATATTAACTGTAAGAATAATGTGTTGTCTCATTATCACTAGCTACAAAAGTTTAATTACAAGCATAATACATATAGTTTTAATTTGTAGAAAAACCTGAAAATTCCTTTTTCCTCTTGTACCGTAGATGTTTCAGCTCTAAAGCAACGGCTCACAGCGGCTAATTTTTGGGGCAGTTCATTTAAAGAGAGTGTCTTGTTAGCAAAAAAGGCTCCAAAGGCCATTTCTGCAGTTCCAGAAAGACACAAGTCCCCACCAAAATTTGGTTCCAGATGATAAACCTGAAATACAATATTAAACATCTACAAATTTCTTAATATTGAGTACGTCTGTTATAATACTTTTACACATGTACTGTACAGTCATGCAGATTTGTGTCATATTTCAAAGAATTTATATTTGTATATCTGTTATTTGTTAGTGCATTATAATTGCTGGAAGGTCTACCAACTTGAGATATCCTACACATTTACAGTCAACTGTACATAACTAATAAATTCACTGGAATTTGAAGTCAGGTTGAAATATCAGTAAATAAATTACAAAATACAGAAACAACTAATCAGCGAATAATAAACCCCAGAGCCATTTACGCAAAAACAAGTGGCAACAAACATTTAAAAAAAAGGCAGCATTGTGATTGGTTGATTTTACTGAATGCAATTTTTAGTCCACTGTTGCTGATACAAAAAGAAAAACAATGTCTTGCTGCTTTGCAACTGGCAAAGAAATAAGAAGTCTACAGAAAATTAGAGTTAAATATGACAACTTTAAACTGACACCTAACCATTCTGAGAAGATGAAAGACTCCATTAGTCCAGAAGCAAGTGGAGGACCAAACTATTTCATTAATTAGTGCAAGTTTGAAAGTTATAATTTTCCTATACTAAAAATGTATTTTCGATAGGTACTCACATTCCCGTTCAGTGCTGCCCTCTATATGGAACATTTTCTATACGCATGCCATAAGTCTTCCTCTCCCCAATATTGGAATTGCTATATTCCAACATTTCTCATGCAAATCATCATGCGTCATCTACTAACCAATAGGAGCATGATATAATCATTTGACGCACGTGACTCCCTCTACCGAACTATCACTTCAAAGTTTGGCAGAAGATGTCAGCACTGAAGAAAAGTGGGAAGTGTTAGCAGAGGTAAGTACCTATCAGAAATACATTTTCAGTATAGGAAAACTATAACTTCCAATACGGTACTTACCTCCCCTCACAAGATTAGCTAGAATCTCACATTGAAAAGGAGGAGGGACCGGTGCGAGGGAATGACAGAAGTACCCCCTGAAAGCATCCAAAGGATAATCCTGAAAATGAGAGATACAAATGTGAAAACCAGAAGAGAGGAACTGCACTATTTCTGAGCCAGGTATATTCTTTACCCATGTGTGGAATGTGTAAGATATAAGGGCAGAAATGAGAGGAGCACATCCAAGTGGGAGAGAATGCGGTAGGAAAGTGATCCTAACCAGAGGAAGATATTGTAATTCAATCCCACTAAAGTGGGTAAACAAGGATGCGCCCCTGCATGTAGAGTGGTAAGTCAACTACATCCAAAACCTCCTTGCAGGGTACTGTGCGAGATTAGGATGAGGATCATACCATCTTCACCTCAAACCCAAGAACCAGGGATTAAGGCCCACACCGATTCCCAGTTATGACATGAGGATTAGCTATGAGCTATTGATCCAGAAAATTGACATCTAGTATCAATAGTATGTCTATTGCATGGAATCAATTCTCCCAACCGTGGTACAGGCCAGGACCATCCAATGGCAATAACATCCCTGTAAGAAGAGAAAGAGGGATAGTCAAGGACAGAACCGTAACAATCCCATGTACCACCACTGTGACCCACAACGTAGATGGATGAAATCGAGGAAGGAAGATAAACAACCGGAACCCGTGTGAGGACTTATGATGATTGGCTCACTCTAATCCAAAACTTCCTCACTGGGTACCAATATCCATGCAAGGGTAGGAGGGCTCCCATTCAAAGGGGTGAACTACATTCTGACATCTCGCTCTGTGGTACTGGTTATCGCCAGTAGGAGGATGTTACGTCATCTACACTCCCAGATCACTACCACCCTACTCTATAACTGAATGGTTATTGTGTGAAACTCATTCAGCAGGGTGCCTCCAAGGTTAAACACCTCAGCAGCTTGGAACTGGACAGTGGCAAGGACTCCCATACTCCATTCAAAGAAAGGAAGGTGACAATGTGGTGGAGAGTCTGGTGGAACATCACCATCAGAGTCAGTGCAATGGGTGACTACAAAACCATATTTTGAAAAGCAGACCATACCGAGTTATTCACTCTAGGCATGGCAGAGATGGGCAGCAATCCCCTTCTGCTTCACCCATGCAGTCCATGGGTGGTACAGCCTTGGATGGGCATGTTTATGAAACAAAATATCACGAGGTTATTCACCATCAAGCAATCTTGTGGAACACCCCATCTCCATGGTGAGCATGCAAAGCCATGGAAGATAAAGCATGAGTTAACGTGGCTGTACAGTGTGGACTTAGAGTTAAAGAATACCTGGTCAGACTTCACTCACCATGGAGCAGGATCCATGTGATAAAAGTAGATAAAGGCCCCTGATAGAAAGAAAGTATGAAGAAACACTTACCAGTTAGAGTTGTACCAAAGTCTGAAGAATGGCCACAGGTGTTATATCAAACCCCAAAAAAGAGGAAACTGCGATATGATGGAAATAGTGGGAGATGAACGTACTGGGAGTGGTCCACATGCCAGATTGCAGAATATCCTTCAATGGACAAAGAAGATGAAAAGTGAGGTGTTGGAACTGATGGGAGGACACTTGGAACAAAATCTGGGAGGAAGAAGGTAGAGACAAATAGGCCAATAGAACCAAAAGGTGGACCCAATTGGTAATTGTAGAAGGGTGAAAGATCATGAAGGGAGGAGGATTGCCAGGGGTCAAAGAGTGGGGAACGTGTACCCCCGGAGGTAGCAGTATGGGCTAAAAAACAACAAAGAGCCCTGACAGGACACATAAGCCTATCCAGATCCAGTCGAGGGTAAAGATGGGAAATAGAAGGAAGGGAAGTAGGAGAAAACACCTTCCCAAGCTGCTCAGGTCTTCAGGAGAAAGAAACAATCTGGATAAAGGAGAAGATAGGTAGGGTAATAAAGGGTAGATGAAACGTGAATGGCAAACAAATCCAACCTTCGACGTCCACAGGCTAAGAGAAGAAAGAAATGTGTTTTAAGGGAAAGATGAAACATGGAAAACGAGGAAAGTGGTTCAAATGGAAGTAAAGTAAGGTAATGTAGGTTCACATTATGTCCCAATCTGGAAGGGCAGGATGCCTGGAAAGGCAATGTATCCAGAAGGGATGCATGAGCATGCTAAGAACGGGGAAGTAAAAACCATAAGTTATTGGGAAGAACAAAAGTTATGGGATAAGGTTGCCCAATATCAGGAAAGTGAGGAGACCGAAGATCAATGGTTGAAGAACCAGGTGAGAAATTCCACTACAAAAGCCATGGTAGGCCTGTCAGCAGAAATCCCCCTGGTAGTAGACCAACTGCAGAATACCTTCCAGTTGCATTGGTACAGCTCCATGGAAGTTGGATGGATGGAACTAGCTAACAAGGAAGTGACTCGACGTGTGAAACCAGATCATCTTGCCAAGGACCAGTTAAAAGCCAGATGTGAAGGCTGTGATGTAGGATATGTGATTGAGGTTGGCAAAGAAGGGAGAGAGAAAGTGGAAGAGGGACAGGGGGGAGAAGAACAGTCGTTGTAATCTTGGAAACCAAGACTGAGCTGGTCAATAGACAGCAATCAGTAGGACTTGGCAAGGAGTGGAGTCGACAAGAGAAATCACCCAATGAAGTAATCGGATGGCTGGGAACACATAAAGATACTTGCGTGACCTGGCTGAAGGCATCAACTGATAGAACCTGTGAATGAGGTACAGGAGACCAAAAGATAGGTAATTTGGTGTTGAGACCCATAACAAAGGCTTCCTTGTGGGGAGAACCCCACCCATTACAAAGATCCTTGATTACGTGGGGATCTAATGCCCACTCCATGGGATATGTCCCATTGGGGCGTGAAAGATGATCCGTGACCAGATTGAAAGCAGCACACAGCACATTACAAGCAATAAGGCGAATATAATGTGCATGGGGCCAGTATAAAACTGTATAATTGTCTGAATGAATCATCACCAGATAATGCTGGGTGAGGAAAAGAAAGTGATTCAATGCCCAATGTACAGCTAGAAGTTTGAGAACATTGATATGCAAAGTGCTTTTGTCTGCAGACCAATGGTCCAAAGCTTCCTGATGATTGACCCATACCCCCATTTCTGAAGGGCTGCATTCGTGAAAAGATGTAGATTCAGGATGTGGGGGAAGAAGTGGCAAACCTGCTGATGTATGGACTTTGTCCAGCCACCAATGCAGATAATCTCACAAGTAAAGAGGAAGGGAAATGGGGGTGGAAAGAGGATCCTAAGCAAAGTTCCATCATTCGTGAAGCACCACTGAAGGGATCTCATATGGGCATGACCGAGAGGGACCAGTGGTTTTATGGAAGACCACATCCCCAAAAGCAATAGAACCTCACAAGTAGTAAGTGACTGAGCGAAGAGGGTGTGGTGAAACAAAAGTTCCCTTGATCAAAGTCATAAAGTCAAGATATTGAGTGGGTCTGAGGAAAGACTTCTCCAATTTGATCAAACAGCCCAACCAAGCTGCCAAAGAAAGTAGCTGCCGAGTATGCTTGGCCGATTCCTATTCATAATGAGCCAGAAGCTAGTCCATGTAATAATGAAATTGAAGCCCTAGAGCATGGAGATGATGTGCAAAAGCCCAGACTATTCGACAAAACACGTAAGGTGCCAAGGCAAGTCCAAAGAGGAGTGTGAAAAATGGGTAAACCACCACGAGATGGACAAACAAAAGATAAGGACGAGACTGAGGTGACATAGGTATATGTAGATAAGCGTTGGAAACATCCATTTTTGTCATCCACAACCCTGGAAAATGCCCATCTCAGGGTGAGAAGAGACTCCATGGTGAACTTGAGTAGTGATATGAAGCAGTTGAGGCAAGATAATCAATTACCAGCCCCCAATCCCTGGTTTTCTTGGGGACAACGAAAAGGCAGAAATAAAAAACCCTGTAAGAATGGGGAACAGGTTCGATTGCCTGCTGAAAAAGCAATTCCTGAACCACTTCTGGCAGACACTGGCTGTTCAAGGGATCTCGAGAAGGAGGGAAGAAAATGGGAAAAGGAGAAACCTGAGGTGGAGAGAGAAACTGGACAACAAATCCTTTTGACAGGAAATGAAGTACCCATTGTTCATCGATGAAGGGATGCCAGCAATGAAGAAACTCGAACAGCTGAGCCCCTCCAGACCAGAACCAACTGGGTAGTCACCAGTACTGTTGGCAATGGGGGTTACATCACTGAGGAAGGTGACGAAAAGAACCCTGAGTAGAAGGAATGGGTGAGGGCTAGGAAGGGAAAGGATGGTAAACGGGAATTGGGGGCATATGGGGCTCTGACTGAGACATATGGCCTACAATATTCTTAAGGGTGGATTGTTGGTGGACAGATGTACCCCGAGGCTGTATCCAAGACGTAACTTCTCAGAAATGGGACCATGCATAAATCCCTGAGATATGTTGAGGGTAAACAGACCTGAGCCAATATAGCATCACGACCTATAAGGTCCCAACAACAAAGAAACCACGTATGTAAAGCCATAGCCAAAGACGATATATGGGTTAAAGTGGAAGAGAGAAGGACAAAGGTATCTGCAGAAAACCCTCAGTATTTCAGATAGGAGGTGTATGAAAGAAATATACCATAAGAGCTTGATAAGGGTAAGATGCAGACGAGAATATTGGGCATAGGTGAGACTGACATTTGATTCAGAAGCCCCCCCCTCCCCCCCCACAAATAAGTAACAAGGAACCTAACAACTGCTGATCTAAAAATTGATAGTCTGTCTGATGCTAAAAAAGGCAAACTGATCAAAAGTCCTCGGGGTGCACGGCATGTTAATCCCCTTGCTCAATTGTGAGGCAAATTGATCAGCATGAACCTGAATATAAGGGGAGGGAGGAAAAACCAAAAAGGGTTGGGAAGAATGTTCATGCAATAAGGAAGGATGAAGTGAATAAGAACGGTTGATCTCTCGACGGTGACCCGCATGCGAGGCCTGAGAAAAAATGCTGGTTGCTGGTGTAACCCTGAAGTGGTAATGTTATCTTCAGAATTCATTGCACAGAAAAGGTTTAACAAATTCGAGTGCAGAAATAAAGCGACTAGAATTAACTGATAAATACTAATATAGGAATTGGGTTGAATGAGTTTGAATGTGCTCTTTTATGTGCTTAATGCTTCCTCATGATATGGTTATTTTTTACTTAAGTTCGTTTCAGGGTAGGGGATATCTTCAACCAAGACAATTTTAGTTTCCTAACATTGTAGTTGACCTTTGGCAGGGTTTTCCTTCAGATGTATTGTATGCGATTAATTTAAAGGAGTATAACAGAAAGTTTGATAAATTTTTAAATGATAAGGGTTGGCTTTGAATTATGTGTATAGAGTTTAGTGAATGGGATGGTCTAGATGGACCAATAGGTCCTTTGTTATTGTTAAATGTTGTCATGAAGCTTGTGTGTATGAAATAGACAAAGTTATTAACCCTGTTTGCACTGGTTTCCAAGCATGTTTTGCCAACTCGAATGGTCTTAAACAATTCATCACAGTCTGTGTGAAATCAGCTGCCTCTTGATGTTCACTTTGAATGAAGATGCTTAAAGCTGCTGTCAATGTCCTTTAAGAAATTAAATCAAACTATTTATTACAAAAACCAATAAACCATGCATGTAGTTGTTTCGGATACTACAGTACTTACCTCTTCTCACAAGATTAGCTATTCTCTTTCTGCCCTCTATATGCGATTTTTTTTTTCTTTACGCATGCCACAAGCCTTCTGCTCCCCCAATATTGGAATTGCTATATTCCAACATGTCTCTCATGCAAATCATCATGCGTCATCTCCTAACCAATAGGAGCATAATATGCTCACATGATGCATGTGACGGCCTTTAAACTTCTTTACCGAACTATCACTTCTCGTTTGGCAGCGTTTCCGTGGTAACATGTTAGTAATAACTAATATAACAATACTAGCTGTGGTAGATTGTTAGTATCAATTAATATAGTGAAGAGTAGTAAATATTTTTTTTTGAATTACTAAATATACGTAAGTATTGCAGTGCAAACCATCGTTACAAAACGAACAATAAGTTTTGTACCACATACTTTGAATAAGTTAGTGTTGTCATTGTTGCTGTCAAGGAATTGTAAATCATCTCTTTGAAAAATGTTGTATGATTTAGAGAATGGATAAAGGAAGTATGTTCCTAATTTCACAGTTAAGTAAGTTATATGTAATTAATGAGGTAGATAATGTAGATGTCTGGACTTACAGTGAGAATGGTAGGTCTGTATTGTTATATTAGTTAGTACTAACATGTTACCACAGCTAGTATTGTTATATTAGTTAGTACTAACATGTACCACAGCTAGTATTGTTATATTAGTTATTACTAACATGTTACCACAGCTAGTATTGTTATATTAGTTGATACTAACAATCTACCACAGCTAGTATTGTTATACTAGTTATTACTAACATGTTACCACAGCTAGTATTGTTATATTAGTTGATATTAACAATCTACCACAGCTAGTATTGTTATATTAGTTATTACTAACATGTTACCACACTAGTATTGTTATATTAGTTAGTACTAACATGTTACCACAGCTAGTATTGTTATATTAGTTAGTACTAACATGTTACCACAGCTAGTATTGTTATACTAGTTATTACTAACATGTTACCACAGCTAGTATTGTTATACTAGTTATTACTAACATGTTACCACAGCTAGTATTGTTATACTAGTTATTACTAACATGTTACCACGGCTAGTATTGTTATATTAGTTGACACTAACAATCTACCACAGCTAGTATTGTTATATTAGTTATTACTAACATGTTACCACAGCTAGTATTGTTATATTAGTTAGTACTAACATGTTACCACAGCTAGTATTGTTATATTAGTTAGTACTAACATGTTACCACAGCT